ACCTAGACCTAGCTTGATCATCCTATATATTCTGGAAGCATGCACCTGTGGGTCTTCGAGCCCGAAACCGGACGACAAAAGTGCAGTCTCAAAGAGAAGCATGACTAGATCTTTCACCGACTTATCGTGCTTGTCCGCCTCAGCCTTTTGTCTCAAGTTCTCCATGATAGGATGATCGGGATTGATCTCGAGGTGCTTCTTCGCAGCCATGTATCCCATGGTGGATGTGTCTCGAAGTGCTTGCGCCTTCATGATTCTCTCCATGTTCGCCGTCCAGCCATACTGCGATGTGACGATACAGCAAGGAGAGTCAACCAATCTGTTGGATACTACAACTTTTTCTACCTTCTTATCCAAGATGTCCTTCATAACTTTACAGAGGCTCTCAAACTTGGCCTTGTCCTCCTCGCGCTTCTTCTTCTCATCATCGTCTTCCGGAAGTTCCAAGCCCTCTTTCGTAACAGATACTAGCTGCTTTCCGTCAAATTCTTTCAGTTGCTGAACGACGTACTCGTCAATGGGCTCAGTCATGTACACGACCTCGAAGCCACGCTTCTTCACACGTTCTACGAACGAACTGTTGGCTACCTGCTCCCTGCTCTCGCCAGTGATGTAGTAAACATGCTTCTGGTTCTCTTTCATTCTACCAACATAATCTTTAAGTGAGCACATCTCATCGCCGGACGCAGACGTGTGATAGCGGAGTAATTCTGAGAGCTTCTTCCTGTTCTGGCTGTCCTCATGAATACCCAATTTCAAATTCTTGCTGAATTGCTCGTAGCACTTCTTGTAGTTCTCCTTGTCCTCTGACAATTCCTCGAAGAGTTCCAAGCACTTCTTGACAAGATTCTTTCTAATGACCTTTAGAATCTTATTCTGTTGCAGCATCTCACGAGAAATGTTAAGAGGCAGATCCTCGCTGTCTACGACGCCCTTGATGAAGTTCAGATATTCCGGAATCAGGTCTTCGCAGTTGTCCATGATGAAGACACGACGTACATACAATTTAATATTGTTCTTTCTCTTCTTATTCTCGAACAGGTCGAAGGGCGCACGACGCGGGATGAACAGCAGCGCTCTGAATTCCAACTGTCCTTCCACGGAGAAGTGTTTCACAGCCAAGTGGTCTTCCCAATCGTTAGTCAAGCTCTTGTAGAACTCGCCATATTCTTCTTGCGTGATGTCGTCCGGATTTCTCGTCCAAATCGGTTTCGTCTTGTTCAACTCTTCATCTTCAGTGTATTTTTCCTTGATGGTCTTCTTCTTCTTTTTCTTCTCTTCCTTAGGCTTATCCTCCTCCTCGTCCTCGCCGACATCTTCGATCTTGGGTTTGTCATCCTCTGCCTTTTCTTCTTCCTTTTTCTCTTCCTCTTCCTCCTCGTCCTCGCTTAGTTCCTTGTCACGTTCCTTCTCGACAACGAGCTTGATAGGATAGCCGATGAACTGCGAATGTTTCTTGACGATTTCTTTGATCTTAGACTCCTCCAGATATTCTGTTTGATCCTCCTTAATGTGAAGGATGATCTTGGTGCCCCGTCCGATTGGTTCACCATTGTCGGGACGAACCGTGAAGGAACCACCAGCGGAAGACTCCCACAGATATTGTTCGTCGTCGTTGTGTTTGGAGATTACGATGACTTTGTCAGCCACGAGATACGCTGAGTAGAAACCTACACCAAACTGTCCAATCATGGAGATATCAGCGCCTGCCTGCAGAGCTTCCATAAACGCCTTTGTACCAGATTTGGCAATGGTACCCAGGTTATTTACAAGGTCGGCTTTGGTCATGCCAATACCACTGTAAAATAAAGAAAATTCAATTTAAAGACAACTGTTGTATATTAATATATATCGCATGTATATATTAGATCTGTTCTTTTTATGTCCTTTTTCACCAATTAACTTTAATCTCGGTTTAACTCACTCTTCATCTTTCTCTATTTCTAAGAATTAGAAAAAGATAAAAAGCAAGTTGAACCGAGATGGAAATTTAACATTAGTGGAAACAGGAATTAAATTAATGAACTTCTTGCATTGTTCATTATTTTCTTGTTTTCTTTCTAATGTAGAGAGAAAAAGATAAATGGTACAAGTTTTGATCGAAAACAGACCTATTTCTATAAAAAAAAATCAATACTTACGAATCAAGGATCGTCAGGGTACGGTCGTTCTTGTTTGGTACGATCTTAATAAATAATTCCTTGCAAGTGTCCAGCTTGGACGGATCCGTGAGAGATTCATATCGAATTTTGTCCAATGCCTAAAAAAATTCATGAAAGATTTAATATTGCGCCATTAACAAGACTCAATTGTTTCTAATTTACTTCCAAATTCATGCAATTATTAATTTCATTTCTATAAATTTGTAAACATAACAAAAAGAAAAATTAGGAAACGTTATACATATATATCACATAGAAATATAAAAAAAATTTTTAATTTAAAAAAGAAATATTTTAAAAATTAATAAATATTTAAAGGTTATCTCAAATGAGATCGACACAATTTACACAGTAAATCAACATCGCTAAATAATTTTTTTTAACCCCCATTACTCACATGAATTTTTCAAATGTAATTACAGAGTATTCTTGACTTTAACATATCTCAATTTCCATTGTTCTATTTCTTCGATGATTTACAATTAAATAAAAATTAATAATATTCTATACATCTTTTAGACAAAAACAAATATGTACAAAATTTTTTTAATATTAAAATGTAGAAAGAGATTGAAAAAATTATATGAAATATTCCTCATTTTATTCTCTTAGACTTGTTTTTTTTATCTGAACTTCTCTCTCACTCTCCTGCACAGATTATTTTCCCGTTCTTTCCTCCATATTGAAGAAAAAAAAATAGAAAAGATGACCGTGAAACAAGTTGAGCTAAAAGCAACAAATTCAAGTATAAAATGAAGTAAATATTTCGTGTAACGACTCTAATTTTCCTGATTTCTGTACAATTGTGTACTTTTGTATATAAAATATATCCTGAAAAAGAAAATCGTTGCTCAAATCCCGTTATTTCTAATTTCAAATTACTTTATATATCCACATAAAAAATTAATTTAAAAAATTATAAATTTTGAATCACAAATTATTCTTTTGTTGCTCCGAACGTTCAGGATGAAGCTTCCAGACATAGCTACACGAAAATTAACGAGGTTAATTAACGATAACCTGAGATACTTACATCGGACGAGTTGGAGATCAATTCTCGGATGAAAATCTCCTTGTTCGAGTAGAAGGTATTGATGATGAGGCTCATCAACTGGGCGATCTCGGCCTGGAAGGCGAAGGTCTCCACCTCGCCCGCGTCCGTCATGCTCACGTCCTCAGGCATTTTTCCACAAAATCAAAATCCACGGGGAAAGGCCGAATGCAAGTATTGCAAGCAGTCGTTAGCGATCGCAGTCCGAATTAGGGCACACGATGCGCAAAGAATAAACCACCAACTATAACAGCTACCACCCTCCTAACACGAGAGCTCCGTAACGAATGGCTCGCTCGCGCCGCGCGGCGTCGCTTTTAACGAGCACGTCGAACACGAATATTCTAGAAGGCTCCGACGGCGGAAGTTCGCCCAGCTTCTAGACCCTTCTATCAAGCGAGCGTTCCGCGAGCGGGATCGAGCGGGAATTCGTCCATCGCCACGAGTCACGTAGGTCGGAAAAATCGTCGAAGAAATTGACGCGTCGAGACGCGAACGATTTTCCGAGCGAGAAGCGTCCACTTCGGGTTTGACTGGTCGCCTCGATCGCGTGACTCGCGTGGTTCGCCGGAAGTGACGACTTTTCCGAAGATCTAGAATCATCACGATAGCTCCCGCGCTCTTCGCAGAGGTGGGGTGGACGCGCGTCGTCCGACGTCCATGTGCACGTGTTTGTGTGCGTTCATGTACGACGCGATCAAAGGCGTAGAGAATGGACCCGTGCGTGAAAATGGTCGATAGGGATGAGAGAGAGGGACCGTGGCAGACGGCCATTTCTATCTCTTTCCATTCAATGGTGTAATGGAGAGAGAATGAGAGAGAGATTGGCCGTCTCCCACGGTTTCCCTCTCACATTATTGTCGACCACATTTGATACATTACTTAGATACGGATCGCGCAGTCCATTCTCTATGTCTTTGGATGCGATCGACCACGTTTTTTCAAGTGTCCAGCCCTTCTTCTCGGTGTGCCGAGGTCGCCGAGGATGATTTTAGGCATGTTAAACGTTTACACGTAAAACGTGAGGGGATGCCTGACTCGTTCGTCGATTGATCGGTTTTCTTTGATTTCTTGGGACTGTTATTGAAAATTTTTTCTGTAAATGTGGGTGGTCAAAGTGGCCTTGATGGAGGTCTGATTCACGTCTGCAATGTCCAAGAATCGTTTCGTCCTCGTTTGTCGAACGTTTAAGCAAAGACAAATGATATTCATGAATGTGAGGCTCTTTGCTACCTATTTCTTGAATTCTTGCTATTTATCTCTTCTCTATAAAAACTGACGTTATTTATTATTGTCACTTTGATGTCAGAATGATGGCATTTTATACATTACGAATTCGATTGTATAGTAATGAGATATGATTGATTATTACAGCGTTTGCTTGATGTATTTATACATCATTCTTCTGTATGCGTTTTTCTTCCGAAATTCATCAATTTTTATTTCGGGCGATAAAAAGACAAGATATAAAAAGAAAAAAATAGATATACGTACACTTTTTAAAAAAAGATGAGTCGGAGGCAAAATGAAGGATATAATTTATTTTTTTAATTATTTTTTTCCAAGCTAAACGTAAAAGCATTTCATAAAATAAAATTTCTAGAATATAATTTTTATTGATATTTCTCACTGATATAGTTATCTATAAATTTTCAATAACTCATCCTTTCCCAGTATTAAGAATTAAAAAAAGATAAGTTAATCTACATTGGTAGATAATACGGATATTAAAAGACAGGTTAACTCCAAGCACACACAAATCATTCTAGCAATCGTTGCAACTTGCAGCTTGCATCAGCACTGCAACGTTTAGCGATAATTAACATCCAAAATAATGAGAATATTTTCGAAATGAATCGCTTTCGCAATTTCGTTTTTAGAGACTTCCTTTTAGACTTATTACTCGGAGTAATCGTCACAATAATGTGGCTCCGACGCGATTGGTGTCACTATCTCGATATGCTCGCAATCGAAGAGAAGGTTAAGGTTAAGACTGATTGAGATTCGCCGCGAAATCGTCCATCTGTGACTCATCTGTATTCGTCTTCTTCTGGGAAACATGGATCCCGGTGTCCTTTCGCGGTTGATCCCGCAGAGCAAGGAGCAGGTGAGACCGGCCTGCAAGAAATGCGGCTACGCCGGGCACTTAACCTATCAGTGCCGCAACTTCATCAAGATCGACCCCAACAAGGAGATCGTGCTGGACGTGAGCAGCACGAGCTCGGACAGCGACGAACATTACGTCACCCCATTGACGGAGCTGCGGGAGCGCGAGTTGCGGAAGAAGCTGCGGGTGGCGAGGAGAAAACGGCGGGAAAAAAAGGCCAGAAAGAAGCGTAAAAAGAAACGCGAGAGCTCGGAGAGCAGTGACAGCGAGTCCTCGTCGTCGTCCTCATCCTCGTCATCATCGTCCAGCGAGGAGGGCAAGAAGCATAAGAAGGGAAAGAAGAGGAAGAAGAACTCCAAAAGCAAGAAACACAAGAAGCACAAGCGGCATGACGATGACGATTCTGATGGGAGCGAGGCAAAAGGTGACAGGGGGAAAAAATGAATTGTTCATGATTCCCAATTCGTTCCCAGTTCCTTCTATCATTGAATATTGAACGACGCGTGACGATGGCGTTTTTTAATCGTGTTATATTCGCACTCGTTTTTCTCGTCCACGAAGGAATCGCCACCTTACTGTGTCCACTGACTTGAACTGACTTGAACCTGTAAATAGGAGCATGTATTTTTTTCTACTTGCATAGAGAGTGACATTTGTAATAAAGAGTTGCAGTCCACAAAAACTGCTAAGGTTTTACAAAAGGAATCACACATGTTTTTTTTTTACTATATTTAATTTTATCTCATTTTATCTAATCTCGTTTGTGACGCGATAAACGTAAATTGAGGATGCTTGTTTAGTCATTTTTACTTATGTCACAGTTTATAGAATATATAGTAGTTGTTTTTATTTATAAATTTCTAAGAAGAATGTGTTATAAACAGTTTCTTTTGAAAATGATGGTATTAAAATGATGTAATTTTCTAAAATCTGGATTAGAACGAAAAACAGAATAATTTGCAAAATAATATAAATTAAAACTCTTATTCAGTCTTTTTTCATCACATTTTATGTGCCTTAAATAGCTGTTTAAAAGAAGCGTTATTTTGAAAAAGAAACAATAAGAAATTAATCATTCGCAGTCGAATGTGAAAAGAATAGTCATGATTAGTAAATATATTATTGGTAAATTTTAGTTATAATTGGTAAATTTTTTACGGATTAAGACTTGAAGTTTAGGTACTGGTTTATTGTAGAAAGCATGTAATACTTATTTAAAAATGACAGTATTAGAATGAATCATGTCAATAATGGCTGATGCAAGAAGATGCTTCAATTTTCATCACATTCTATAGAATTTTGGAATCTATAACGTATATTTTTTTTTAAGTGGAATAAACACATTAACAATTTTCTACGTTATATAAACATAAAGGTGAAAAGTTATTTTTCAAAAGTGATATTCTTAATCTTAGTTATCGTTACCGTCATACGAAATTGCAACGTCATTAAAGCATTTTTATAGAAAGTAACACTAAAAATAACAGTTCACATCTCTATGAAAAAATAGCACAACCGTATCTGTAACATGATGCAAATTAAGTGTGTTTGTTCATTACTTTCCGTCGCATTCCACAGAATTATGAATAATCTAAAGAAAATATTTTTTATAAAAAATATTAAAAAATCGGAGCAACGCTACATTAAACAGTTTTTAATCTGTTCGAAAATAATGGTTTCGAAACAAGAAATAATATAATAGTAGCTGCACCCTTACGGAAAGTGACACTGAAAATTTCGAAAAAACACTGAAAATTAAGTGTCTCTTTCCACAAGGGAATAGACATGATGCAAGCTACAAATCGTGTTTTTTTCTCGGTTTTTTTCACATTCTATAAAATATTTCTAAATTTTGAAGGAAGCATTACTTGCAATTTTCTAAAAGCATGGGAAGTGTGTGGGTGGGGATGCCCACATCAAACAGTTTCCTAACCTATTTTATTAAATTTGTTAAATCTGTTCGTGTTGCTGGAAATCTTTAAAATTGTATGCACTTAAAGAGAGATAAATATACATTCGGGCGTTGAGGAAAGAAAAAACGAAAACATTGTGAGTGCAATAAGTACAAACAATAGCCCTGTTCTTTTTGGCTGAACTTTTGCACCAGCTCATCTTTCTTCCTTTTCTCTCCAGAAGGATCGAAGAGGAAGAAAATTGCTCTGGTGTAAGAGTTGAACCAAAAAGAACAGGTCTAAGAACGAACAGACTTCATAACAAAATGAGAGAATTCGACGGCTGCCGTTTTTGTTGGCCAATCCAATGTGTCGAAGCGGTGAAGGCATGAACGCGATTGGTTGGCGTTGGCCAATCCAGTGCGCCAAGACGTCATCGATCCATTAGAATAATCCTAAGCAATGTTGAGGTTATGTCAAAATTGTCGTGCTTTTTATTATCTCTGAAAAGATATCGCAATTAAAAACTCCAAATTGGTTTTAGAATTAAAATTGCCAAAAAGAAAATTTGGATCCTACGGTAAATATCATAAAAATGTCTGAGAAAAAAAGAATTCGTTTAATTTATTTGTTTCTAACGTTATTTATCTTCGGTAAAGGTGCAATAAAGGTCGATCCTCTTAAAAATCGATGAAATTATGCTCATTCGTCGCGTTTTTCCATAAAACGAAAGAATCTGTTAGAAAAAAGCGCCGTTCTGCCCCGCGAACCGAGATATTAAGCGTTAAAGTTCACGACTATTCAGGTTAGAATATCTGTCATACTGTAGAATCTTGTATTTGATATGTTTTCTTTAATGTAATTGAGGGCGAATAAAGTTTTACTACACTTAATGAGAATGTGGCCAATTAGTCTAAAGATATAAGTTCTCCTTTATTATTGGATACAAATCGTAGATGACGGCGCGAACACGTCCGAGCGATACGACGGCTACGTTTCGAACTGTCTCTAACAACTCGTTGCTAGGGACTCGTAGTCAAGGCAAATTAACATAGCTGTATTACCGCAACGTGAATCTAATCACTTTTACGGTTTACAGTTCGGCCAATCCTGAGCTAGTGTGCGACTCGAACACGTATTTTATATTTTTTAAAAAAGAAAAGATACACAAAGTGTTAATTATAGTGAATACAATCAAAGTGAGTGATACATTAAATAGATTCGTAGAAAATACCATGAATAACGTAAGTACAATGTTTTGGTATTATGATATTCACACACACATAATAGTTAATATGTATAAATAACCATTCTTACATTAAATATACACTAAAATTAACTGAACACAGTAAAGTTATTAATCTAGCATCTTTTGAAAGATAAAATATACATTCATGATAAAAAGGTAATAATAAGAAATAGCATATTAAACTTTTTTTTGAACATCATGGTTATGATTAGGTAAGGCTTTAATCCATAATTTTAAGCGATCAGGGGAGAGAATCGAATTGTAAGGTCTTGAAGTTAAGCTGGAACCAGGAATGTCCTGCACCACGTATCTATTTTTGTCCAAAACTTTAGTTACCCTGAAGGGACCTTTAAATTCAGGTTTTAATTTCTTACACTCTCCGGCTTTTATCGAAACATCCCTAATCATAACCAGATCACCTGGTTTATATGACAAGGGCTTTCGATGATGCTTGTCATAATATAATTTATTATAAGATTTGATCTTTTCCGCGACATTCAGGGCTAACTCTCTATCTTTTTCTCTTTCTAAAGTAAAATTTATTTCAACGCCAGCAATCTCATTCAAGAATTTTACTAAATCAGCATCAGTATTGTTACGTTGATCATAACCTAAAAGTAATTTTGAGGGAGAAGATTTTAACGCCGAATGTCGAGTATTATTAAATACATATTGAACAATTTCAAGGCATATTTCCCAATCATGATTTTCATCGATAAGTTTTTTTAAAGAGGATTTTAAAAAACGATTCGCTCTTTCTGCCAAACCATTGGCCCAAGGAGCAGCAACAGCAATTAGCCTATGCTTAATATTTCTAGAAGACAGAAATTCAGAAAATTCATGAGAGGTAAATGCTGTACCTCTATCAGATACAATTCTTTCTGGGTAACCAAGAATATGAAATAAAGATGCGAGATGCTTGATAACTTCCTTTGACGTAGTAGACTTTGTAGGAAAAAGCCAAACGTAACGAGTAAAAGCGTCAATAATTACCAAAATATGTTTTGAACCATTGCAGGATTCACACAGAGGGCCAAAATGATCCATGTGTAAAATTCGAAAAGGCTCAGAAGAAGTATCAGTTATTTGCATCTCACCTTCACTGGACTTAAAACCAGTATTGGAAGTTAAGCAAGTCACACATTTACTTATATGGTCATGGACCCGTTTATGAAGAAAGGGAAACCAGTAATGAACACTGAGTCCCTGGACTGCTTTCTCGAAACCACAATGAGCAAGATCGTCATGGTAAATTCTTATTACGTTATCAATCATTGATTCTGGAACAGCAAATCGAGGCAAGTTAGAGTCTTTACGATAAACAAGTCCTCGTATTAATTGAAATTTCGGATTATCAGAAAATTCTAACTGCTCAGCAATCTCCTTAAGCCTCGGATCCTGTAATTGCTTTATCTCTAATTCTCTCTCGAGGGGCAAAGCTTCAACAAGAGCCGAAACTTCAGAGATTCTGCTGAGAGCGTCGACATGTGCCATTTTATGTCCAGAACGATGCAATATTTTAAATCTATAATTCTGCAATCTTAAGGTCCATCTAGCGAATCTAGGATTGAGATGTGCCTTATTTACAGCATACACTAATGCATGGCAATCCGTGACAATAGTGAATTCTAAACCATACAGGAATATATGGAAACGCTCAACTGCCTTAACCACAGCCAGCATTTCTAACTCAAAGCTGTGATATCTAGCCTCAGCTGAATTCGTGGCTTGACTGTAGTACGCAATGGGAGCTAATTTTCCAGATTCCTGTTTTTGGAAAAGAATAGCAGCTAAAGCCAAGGAACTTGCATCCGTATGTAATTCAGTCTCTGCATAGGGATCATATAAACGAAGAACCGGGTAAGAAATTAATTCTTGTTTTAGGATTTGAAAAGCCTTCAAGCAATCATCATTGAAATTGAAAGAGACTGACTTTCGTAAAAGATTAAGCAAAGGGCGAGCTTTAATAGCGAAATCCTTTATGAATCTACGAAAGAAATTTGCAAGACCAAGAAAACGTTGAAGTTGAACAACATTCTTAGGTATCGGAAAGTCTCTAACAGCCTTAACATGACGATCACTTAAGGTAATTCCTGACGGAGATAGAATATATCCAAGATATTCAATTTTCTCTTTTAAAAAATGACATTTTTTATAATTAAGTTTAAATCCGTATTGTTTTAAAATCAAAAGTACCTCTTTCAATGAAGACAAGTTTTCCTCAACTGTACAAGATGGCACCAAGATATCATCAATGTAAACTAAAACTTTATCCTCGCGCAAAAGAGGTTGAAAGATTTGGATCATTCTCTTTTGGAACTCAGCTGGAGCCTCACAGTAACCAAAAGGTAATTTCATGTACTCAAACTGACCATCAGGAGTCGCGAAAGCAAAATATTTAGAATGATCTGGATGAACATCTATTTGATGAAAACCATCTTTTAAGTCAAGCAAAGTAAAAACTTTCTTATTGCCCAGTCGAGAAAAACATTCTTCCATCAATGGAAAGGGGTATTTTTGTTTTATGACACGATCATTCAACGGTCGTAAATCAATGCACAATCGCATTGTACCGTTTTTCTTAATTACAGGAACCACCCTTGCACAATAAGGGGAAATGCTCGGTTTAATAATTCCTCTGTGCAAGAGATCATCAGTAATCTCTCGAATCTGTTTCCTTTCAGACCATGCGAAGCGTCGAGGAGAATAAGCATAAGTTGTATTGTCTTTGAGAGACACTGTGACGGCATGACCATCTTCAATTGGAATGACAGAAGTATTCTCAACTTCACGAATTAAAGTTACAAGTTTTTCATCAACCGTTGGTCCGAAATCAGATTCGAAAGTAAACTCATCAGAAAAACCAGGTAAAACAGACTGACTATAATCATCCAAAGATGCAATTTCAGAAAATAATTGGATCTTTGAATTTTCGTTAAGAAAAGTTTCGCAAACAATTACAATTTTGTACATTTGCAAAAAAATCACGACCAAGAATAAGGTCAACAAAAAGCTCATCGTCCTCTAGAACAAGAAAAGGAACTTTGAAAGATTTATTCGGAAAAATCGCGAGCTGAAATTCCAAAGTAAATTCTCCGAAAACTTTAATAATTGATTTATTTAAAGCTTTAAAAGAACGAGATGGAACTTTTAATTGATCCAGAGGTTGATTAGTCAAATTAGAAAAGATAGATGGTCGAATAAAAGATACAGCGCTGCCCGTATCAATAAGAGCGTCTAATGAGCAATTTGTTTCATTTAAAGCAGTCACCTTAACAATATTGTCGCTAATTTTATACGGCGATCCGATGTCGACAAAAGCTACCGTCGGTGAATGGGAAGGCTGGGAAGACTGGATGG